GCAGACCTAATTGAAAAGGAAAAGGAAAAAAAAGAGCTTAAGCAAGAAGCAACCATATCCTTCAATAATCAGTGATTATTGCTCCTGTCCATTTCCTGAATGATAATTTCGAGCAACTTAATGTTTCACGAGGTTTGCATATGCATAATCTTTATACTGTAGAAGTAAGATGTACATCTAAAATTTTCTTAAAGTGTAGTTCAAGTGTTGGAAACCTTAAAATAGCTTTAAAATCTATTATCTTTAAGTTATAAAATTGAAAGTCTCAAAACAAATAAAGACTTGAAAATCAATAGTCCCGATAACTTGTTACAAGATCATTTTTTAAGAAAAGTTTTTAGGGTAGAAACTTTTTTAAAGACTAAAAATTCATTTTTTCTTCATTTCCACACCTCTCAAAGTCGAGAGGATTGCTTGGAGGGTGAACACTCTTCCTAAAGGATTTTTTATATGCACCTTACTCCAATAGATAATGTTGCAACCTTGCAAAACTTTTTCCTTCAGGAAAAAAAAGTTTATATAAAACTCAAGCTCTAAACAATCGAATTAAAACCTACCTCAAAAATTTCACTAGATGTTGTTTTGAACCCAAATATCCTCAAATAAATCATCTCAAAATCAAGATGTATGGGCATGAGAAAAAAAATGGATTTCAAGTTTTGAAAATAGTGCATCTTGTAATGCATGTTTGGACCGCCAATTTTCACGATTTTCAAGTTTTTATAGATATGCTCGATCTACACTATTTTGAAGCTTTAAATTTTATAATAAAATATAAAAATATATTTTAAAGCTATCACAAAGATTTCCAGTATTGAAACCACATTTCTCGATACTATTTGAAAGTGCGCTTTACTCTTATTGTTTAGAGCCTCGGCTCTATAAAAACCACACCCTTTTAATATTTCATTCAAAGACTACTACTTAACCAGAACACAAATAAAACTTGCATCCCGCCCATGAACAGTATGCATATCTGGCAACTCTTTCAACTACAGTTCTAGGCTAATAAATGCCTCATAGAAGTCTAAACCAACTTATCCAGAGGCTCATAAAAAAAAAGCAGCCAAAATATTATTCAAAGGAGTACAAACAATATACCCAAGGAGCAGGACCACAGGTCAGAGTGGTTCTGATACATAATCATCCAACTCAAATCTGCTCATCAGAGAAGACACAAAAGATTCATTTGCTAGTTCACTGCTTGCAAGGGAGAAACAAGGACTTTCATTCCTTCTTTCCAATCCCATGAGACATATTGTAAATCCCTCGAGCCTGCAAAACAGAGAGGAAATTCACTTTCTTGTTTTTAGAGCAAAATAATTGAGGATGAAAAACATAACTTTGATGAGAAAGAAATTACCATTATCAAGGGGAAAAACAGAGCAATTACTATGATCACTTGAAACAAAAAGATAAAAGCTTACAATAAGAAACCCTGTTGTGACGGCAAATGCAAGGGGTATGGCAACAGAGGTGATCTTATCATATGGCCCTTTCAAGTACGTATATTTGTGGACATTCTGAAAGTATTGCTGCTTCTTAATAAGCCTTTCTCTTGGGACAAAGGGTGGTTCAGTGACTTCCCCCATCCTGCAAAAAGTGGGGATTGATGCATAACACTTCTAAGAAGATATGTTTCTTGATAAGCAAATTGAAGTACCTTAAAAATTGTAGGAGAAAATAGGTTTCTTGATACACAAATTCGAGTACCATAAAATTATAGGATACATAAGTGGCGAATTAGAAGGAATCCAATATCTAAAAGAACAAATTAGATGACAATAGTTTGTCTTTGGGCCTGGAAATATATATGATTCACGCTAACATACCCCGTGCTGTCTGGCCACAGATTATATGCACTTCTAATTGATCTCAAGAACAATTATGAAAGAGATTGCCATTTATATAAAACTCCATGAGACTCTGTACTTCCATGAGTGGATAGTTGGAAGTCAGAAATTGAGTTCCAATGCTACATCCCTTATACACTCCCTTATACACCAGGCATATGTCAAGAAGGTGAAGTTTGATAAATCAAGGAATGAGCACTCACATCAATATGTCATATAAGGCCTGCTGCCCACACACATGCATGAGTGGATACTGTCAGCCATTGAGATTTACAATAGAAAGATGGATAGAATTTCTTTGGAGCAAAAAGGCACACAAAAGCTTCAGCTAAACAGTAAACGATGACCCATATTCTAAGAAAAAGCTTACTTAATGATAAATTACCTTTGGTCATGTGCGCCTACTTAAATGCCATAAAACCAACATAGAATGAATTAAATACTATTGGCATCACTCATATGACCCAAAAAAAAAAAAACAGTGAATATAAAAATCCCATTTTCTAACATACTTCCAATTCCCAACCTAATTCGATAAGTAAGATGAGAAAAGTATATAAAAGGAGATATAGAAACATGAGTGAATTTTTGTGCTAAAGCACAAATAATCATCATCCGCTAGTATGCTGGTAACGCAAAATTCAATGAACATAAAAATCCCATTTTCTAACATACTTCCAATGCCCAACCTAATTCAGAAAAGTAAAATGAGAAAAGCATATTAAAGGAGATACAGAAACATGAGTGTTTTTTTTATTATTATTATCTGTATGAGTGCATTTTTTTTTTAAAGTAAAAGTAATCATCATCCACTAATACGCTGGTAACACCCACTAATTCTATCAAAACAAACTAGGATCTACTATCACTTGCAAGGTGAGCTACAAACAGAAAAAAAAAAACATAACCTTTTTATCTTCACCAAGGGACTCATGTAAAAACAACTGAAACATCCGGGAGAAACAATCATCCCTCATTCCATTAGAGCTGAAAACAACTACATAAACGGAAAAGGAATTCAAACTACAGTCAAGTCTTTCTAAATAATCCAACCCATGCCCTGGAAAACCTAGTGACTACCCCACCCTTCTCTTTCGAAGCACTCTTTAAATTCCTCAGCAATGGGCCTTAAAATCACGAATTTATACACATCCAGTGAAGCAACTGCCCTATCAAACCTATGGACTCCTCAAACTCATGTACTCTTTGAGAGCCAAGCACCTCACAGCACACCAGATGCCAACACCCTATATCCCAACTCGATAAATGGAAACTCCTCTCAAGCCCCTAAATCTTATCAGTAACTGGTACAATTGAAGGAAAGGTAAACAAGGAGGGACTGTTCATGGTGGGATTTAACCTGTCAATCTACCCTAAAAGCAATAAAAGCTTTACTTTCCAGGATATCACCTCATCTCAACCACTGCACTGCAAAACTCATGCCTGCCAGGAAAAGCAGAAAGCACTATATAGGATAACAGAAACTTTACCCATTCCAATACAGAAAACAACACACACTATCTCAACCTTATCAACAAATTCATCCAAAAGGCCCACTTGTCACCTTAATTAACCTCTTCCCCTAAACTAATACCCTTTGGCAGCTTCTTGAACAATTAACAACAACAATACCACTTAATGAAACAAAAAAAGTAAACCATTTATATGTGACTGGTTGACTAGAAATAATTACTTAAAGATAACTACAAGCAAAAACTTTCTAATAGCAAGATATGTTCAATTGATCTAGGATTCCAACCCATATTTCAACATTCAAGTAATTCAAAAGGAACCAATTATGAGACCATCCAATGTAGAATTTTAGTAATATGAATCAAACATATAGAAGAAAAGGAAATAGTTCCTCTCCATTGACAAAATAAATGATCATCCGCTCAATGTTTTTTCTTTTATTGGTCACAGTTTGTTTATTAGCAATCCGACATGATACAACCCAAAAGATAAGCGAAAAAGGCTTTGTACATGAGGCACAACTGGAGTTTTTTGGGTCAATATAAGGTGCACCCCTAATGAGCTCTTTCCTGGTGAGGGAGCAAGCTCCCACATTGGCCCCAAGGGAGAGAGTCCTCAAGTATTTTCATCATCACATCCATGACCTGGGTTTGTGGACATGCCTAAACTCATTTCCTAATGTTCAAATAGAGTCATCCTCTATCCTGAGAGGCCAGTTATACCTAGTGAAACCTCGTAAATCCATTAAAAGGGGCTTGGTTTTAGCTGCAAAAGAAATCCCGGAATTCTAAGGATCCATAGATGCCCAACATACGAGGCCCTAACTATTCTTAATAACTGCCCTCTCTATTGCCTGGATAATCAACTGAATCCCCGTCAGAATTATATTACACTGTTTCATAACTTGACTTTGGGCTTGGCTATGGTTTCTCTCAATAACTACCAGTCGCAAGACATCATTCTGCTTCCAAATAGATGATGGGAGCCTCTATTCTCTCACATAATTTTAAACAAATTGATGAATATATTTACCGTTGAGGTGTTTGAATTGACTTGTCTTGTTATATCAAATGTCAATTTCATGCCCATACAGAAATAAGAACCTTTGCAAATACTATTTCAAATTTTCAATGTCCAATGTTATATAGCATACATTTTAAAACTGGTTTTTTTATTTTTCTTTTTCTTTTTTTAAAATTTTTTCTCTTTCCAAATATCATTGTTGCACCGACATTTAAAATTCTGAAGGCCAAAAAGATTCTTACCAATTCACATATTCTCAAAATCATCCTGTTGCACATAAATATACTGTTACGGCGATTTAAGTGTAACTAAAATAAGGGAGCCCTTGTAACATATATATCCAAGTCAAGAGTCCACCAATAGATTGCCAGAGAAGCACTAATGTTGACTTGATGGATATCAAAATGAGACCCGTCTAGATCACCTCAGTGGATAATGCAAGGACAAGACTGAAAGAATCTCCAATGAAAGTAGGATAATTTTTTTTTTTTTCTTTTTTTTTTTTTGTTGTGTGTGGGGGGGGAGGGGGGGGTTGGTTGGGGTGGGTGGAACTAGGATAATGTCTCACACCTACTTGGAAGTAAGAGGAGTCAAAGGTTTTTTGAGGTCATGAAGTCAGAATCCCCAAAAGGCTCCTCTCTCTGAAGGAATTTATATCAGTGGTGCATAGACAGCAGGTGCCAGGGTATGAAATGACTCGAGGGTCCAACAAAACAACCCAATGTTCGGTTTTTTTTTTTTTAAGAGAACGCAACAACTGAAAGTTCCAAATGGATATACATTCGTAAAACAGATACTGTTATATCACATAATTATGAAAAACCAATATGACATGTGTGTAATTAAATTATTTTCAAAAAAGGAAAAAGTTTATATAAGGTTGCAACCTTAAAATGTTAGAATTAAGGTGCACCTAAAAAATCCATTGTAAAAGGTTGTTTGAAAGTTGGAAAACCCTCTAATTGATCATGTCGACATCGAGATATATATATATATATATATATATATATATAATGAAGTCAAGTCTCAAAAGTAGTGCATCGTGCAACACATTATATGGACGGTTCATTTTCAAGACTTTCATGTGTTTATAGATCCACTTGATTTGAACCATTTTTGGAATATAAAATTCTATAATTAGAGATTAAAATGGATTCTCAAGCTATCCTACAGAAATTTTGACATCAAAATTACATCTTATGATAAAATTTGGTGGTGCACTTTATTTTGATTGTTTAAGGTTGCAATCTTATGCAAACCACACCATGCAAAAAATAAGCATGAATTATTGTAACAATGATGTTGTTGTTAAATTTTACTAAGTAACATAATATATTTGAAAAAATCATTTATATAAAGTATAGAATCAATTTTATAAACTTTGATGTGCCATATAATGAAATTTGTTTCTATATGTAACACCTTATTCACATATAAAAGTACACCAGCAACAACTTCCTATGTCACACATTTAAGATAGATGCATGTCTATATCAACATAATGGCAGAGTAATATTGTAATAACTCAAATTATATGACTTTACATTGTAACCCTCAGCTTATGTTACAATTTAGCGGAATCCACCACCATACCATATGAAGAAGTTTCGGTCTTGTCCAAGACAAGGACTGAACAGTTCCATTCGTTGAGGCGTCAGTCTCAACCGACACAACAACATAGGCTTCAAGATCAGCAGTTTCAGCCGCCGAAGCTTAATATTGAAATAACTCAAATTATATGACGGCATCAATTTAAATATAATAATGTCAAGAAGTGTGGAAGTTCAGAAGTGTCAAAATTATGTCAATCACCGAAACAGCAAGCAGAATGAATTTTTGAGTTAGTGTCATTTTATTCACATCCCAGACATGACCATCAACAGAATCAAGCCCAAAAAATTAACGTTTAGGGGATCGACTACTATCCAAAAAGATTTCTTAAAAATTACTGGTAGTGAGCTGTAAGCCTCAAAAAGCTCAAGGGACAAGGGCAGCTCAACCTCGGCCCCACAAAGGACAAACCAATGCCCCAACCCAGATGACAAGCCCCCACAAGTTATTGTATTCCATCAAGCCAAAATAACCCTCTGAAGGAGGGGGCCACAACGGTTCTCCATCTTCCACCCTGAAAGCCTAGCCCAGATTTCAGATACATGAAGACACCTTACCTGTAGAAAAATTAGCCTTCAAGATTGAGATATTCAGGCCTTTCCTCCATTTCTCACACCTTGAGTTTTCATCAAACAGGACATTTCTAACTTTTTTATCCTAGTTTTGGAACCTTCCCAACTGCTGCTGAAATTGTTGTCTGTCTTTGTAGACCCTCTGTATATCTACCATTCCGATTTTAACATATGTTCCATTATGAACCCAAAACTTCGCAGTCCACCCTGAGCTTTGATCTCCTATGGAAACTCTTAAAAGCATCTTGTCTACATTTAATTTTGTTTCTATGAAACAACCCTTGCTGCCTTCAAAAGTTTATATCTTATGCATAACTCTCTCTTTGTCCAATTCTTACGCAGGTTTTTCAACTTCCCCAAATGGGAATCCACTCCAACTAAACCTATATCAACAAACTTCGATTTCTCTCAATAATTTAATCAATTTTCCTGACTACTCTCTCTCTCTGCCTTGAGCAAAATCATCAATGGTAACTTGGGGCATCACCATACCTCCCCAATCATAACCAGTAACCCAGTTCCATCCCATGCTCCCCCACAGTCAGCTTTGGTATGTCCCTTTAAAAGAGCTACAGGGAGGGCCTCCCAACTATAATTGAACTTACTGATGTTAATTTCACGCTCCATCAATTTGGGCAGGAAATCAAACTCCATAACTTTCATACATAAACTTCAATTCTTCATTACAATAGCCTCTAGAATTTTGTGAAATCATTTGAAAGAAGATACCTGCCCATGAGGCCCTATACAATACTTCAATATGTTGAGAACATTTGTTCATTCTTATAGATTACAATATTGCACCAAACAAAACAAAAACAAAAACAAAAAAGGGAAAGGAAAAAAAGAAAGAAAGAAAGAATCACAACCATGTCCAATAGTATTTAACTGCCACATTTTTTTTATAAGAAATTTAAGCCACATAGAGAAAATCCCAAGTTTATTATTCATTCTTTTACTTATCCCAATTGATTCATTCATGTTTATCTGTACCTTCAGATAATATCGTATTGTCAACGTATCAATATCACCCAATTTAACTGTTGAGCCAATTTTTATTCGCCAAGCTCCCAATTACATGGAAACTTTCCTTACTGGTTTTCACAACACTTCTCTGTGATTTCCAATTGCCCTATCTAGACCCCTTTTTACAAAACCTTTGATATAATTTGCAAGGACCCAAGTTCTGTTGCATGTGCCCATAGAGTGCCTTCAAATTTGACGGAATCTCCATAGGGAATCCGTGCCCTTGTACATGATGAGGGATTTTTAGTCACTTCAAACGTGGGTCTCTAAAGGCTTTCCCTCTCCTAGACATGTCTTACAAATTATGTGCCACGTTAACAAAAGAAATGATATTATAAATTGATTTTTCTTGCAATCAATGAAAATCAATCATCGAAAATACTAGAAAAAAGTTGATGCTCTTTGGACAAGCATCGAGGCAATTATCTATTTCGCCATAGCCATAGAAATGTTCAACAATTTCTAAAAAGTACAATCAACTAAATAAGCACTAATCATTTTTCTATGGTAATAGATTACTGACAAAGTGGGAACCTCATGCTTTCCCGATACTACAAGAAATTCTGGAGTATAGGAATATGAGAATATAACATCACCCACAAATGATCACAAATGAATCTCACATTGCTATGAACAACCAATAGCAGTAATAAAACTGATAATAATCAACAATAAAGCTGACAATAGAAGTTAGCATGAAAGTAGTTTCATTAAAAAAAAAAATTCACTGGTGCATAGTATCCAAATACAAACAAAAAATAGTAACCAGTAATCTTGATTTCAAAAGATTTTGGCACTTGTGATGAGGAGACAAGTCATATTTTTTTCAAAACAAATCCTCTTATTATGGACTAAGAAGATCTCAAAATGAATTCCAAAACAAATCTTCTTAAATGATGCCTCAATCATATGAAATGGTTTGAGAAGTAACCAGGAAAAAAAACACGAGAGAAATGCTTCACCAAAAAACTCAGGAAAAAAAATTGCTGCACCAAACAATAAGCAAATAACTTGGGGTTAAAATCAGCAAAAAAAAGGGTATGAAAATGTTTTATGAAGGAACAAGCAAAAAAAAATGCAAAAGAATGCTTCATCCAAACAATAGAAGAAAAAAATGCTTCGCCCAAAAAATAGCAAATAAATTAGAGTCAAAATCGGCAAAATGCTATGAAAATGTTTCAAGAAACTAATCAGCAATAAAATTCTTCACCAAATAGCTTGGAGTTAAACTTGATTTTATCATTTAGGAACCAGAATCAAAATGGTACAGAATTTGATTTTATCGTTTATGAACTAGAATCAAACTGGTAACAAAAATAAACACTATTGAGCCACATAACAACCAATAAACATTGTCAAAAATAAAAGAAGTAAAATAAAAACCTGATTTTCTAGATATTATAAGAGAATAATCAAACAGTAGGAGCATCAAAAATGGAGGCTTGAGGGCGGCTTGAGAAAGGAAAAGTCTCGCACCAAAAGTCCCCCAAATATATCAGAATGAGAAAAACAACAAAAAAAATAAAAATAAAGGTACCTCTTTCAGCTGAAAACTCTCGGATCTGAGACGCTAAACGATCTCGATGCCAAGAACAAACTCTTCCAGATGATTCCTGCAATCAATTGAAGAAGATGGCCGTGGGTGCTCTTCTCTCCCAAACAAGGGCAGAAAAGGGAATTGAAGGTGATGCTAAAAAAATGGCAGAGTGAATTTTTATATCAAAGATGACGCTTAAGTGAATTTGCACGTAAAAGAACACTGTTAAATGATGCTAAAACAAAAATGGCTGAATTTTACCTAAAAGATCAACGTCCGATGGGAAAGAAACACGGTGTGGGAGCTCCTTCTATTTCTATTGCAGCAATGGCGGTGACAGATACACGCTCGAGAGAGCCCGAAAACTTTCATACTCCCGTGGAAGTATACTGTAAATTTACTCATGTAAAACCGGGGGTATAGTCTTGAGACAACAAATTTTAGTCATTTAGCCTCATGATTATGGTTTTTTTTCAACTGTTTGGGTTTGGGCCTCAAGCGAAAGTCACGTCTCATAGTCTCAGGTTACAGGTTTTCATATTTTTCTCACTAGTTTCTAGGGATTTAGCCTCATCATCATCATCATCAAAAATATTTTCGAACTATTTAGGGTTTGCACATGGATTTAGCCTCTTTATGGGAAACATTTTGATATTATTGCACCAGTAACAAAAGTAAGGAAAATGTTATATCAAAACTCACTAAAAATTGTCGTTCGAAAAATATTTAAATCGATCATATAGGCCTTGAACATTATAGTTGTAAAAAAAAAATGATTTCAAACTCTAAAAATAATGCATATTGTAACACATTATCTAGATTATCAATTTCACCTTAAAAATAGGTGTTCACGAATCTACAAGATCTAGAATATTTTTTGAAACACAAAAATTATAAACAGTGGCACAAATTGATTTTAGAGCCATCATAAAAAAAATTGGAAATCAAACTTTACTTTTTTTTTCATAAAGCTTAGGCACAAGCTGAGTGGGTAGCACAATATAGTCCCTCCTCAAAAATTGTACATTACACTTATGCAAAATTAATCAAAGTCGAACATACACTATACTGTAGTGAAACAACAATAAAGAACTTCAATTGTTTAACTTCTAGGCAATCCAACACACATATCCATTTAAAATTTAAGAAATATTATATATACCTCCCCCCTTCATATTTTTCTATCAAATTAAAACGCTTCTATCTCATCTTTCCCACACACGACTTGGATTACTATAGGTCCGTCATTTTATGAACGCAGACCGACAGGTTTTGTCATCTGTCCGACAGCTTGTAAAGCCGGTCCGGCATAGGAGTATGACAATTTGTTTATGCAGTCCGACATAGGGGGTCCAGCAGTTTGTTTATGGGTTATGAATTATCTTCGATCTGGCACTTTGAAGAGTGCAGTTCGATGACCGGTTCTCGCAGTCTGACGTGCTTTTCCCGATTTGGCACTATGGTTTGAAGCCCTAATTCGGTGGTCCACATCAATGTTTGACCAAAAACAATATGGGGAAGGGTATTTACGTCTAAAAATATATAACTTTTTGCTTGGGGGGCATTTGTTAAAAGTTGTGAACAAAAATATTGTTGGGGCGAGGTTGTCTAGAAAGCCCTGGAGGGTATATGCAACTTTTCCTAAAATTTCTAGTGAGACAATGTATCCCGATTAAAAAAATTCTATTCATGTGAACTTCATTAAAATAAATTTTACACAAGTGAGTGAGTAACCCAAAATAGTGCCGTCATACCAAGTGATGCCTTGCACTTCTAAGCTGAAGCTCACCACCAGCCTTTAATAAGCGTCCAAATGAATTTGGTGATCCCATATTTGATAATAAATAATATTTCATGGATGAGTCGAATGAAGAAAAAGATGGACTCAAAAAAAGGTGAAGTTGTAGTTTGACAATCGTTTTTACTTAGGGGGTTTACATAGTGTTTAGTTGCTATTAATTAACTTTAGAATCTGTTGTTTTCGTGTAAAATAATTTTTTTCTAAAACAAGTGAATGTAAAATTCAGTATACAAATTATTGCATTGTAAAGTATAATCATGTATAGGTATCAATTTATCATTTTTTATATATTTAAGTTAAATATATCTATGGCATAAAAATAAATATATTTGTCATTTATATGTTATAAACTATAACTTATAAATATATAACCTATAAATATATAAGTTATAATTATATATTTTGTTATTTGTAAGTTATAAATTTTTGTAGATATATATTTGTAACTTATAACTAATAACTTATAAATATTTAAATTGCTTTTTATAAACCATAATAAATTATTACTTATAATGAGAACATACTCTTAAGAAGTTGGTAATATATCTAAGGCCCAGTTTGGATATCAAAGAAAAAAATATTCATATTGAAAAAAAAAATGCAATTTTTTTATCCTCAATCGAGAAACATTATCGTTTTATTTTATTATGTTCGTTGGCTGTTTTGATGTCTCTTAAAGTATAAGAAGATAAATTTATTTGCCAGATATGTCTGTTTGGATGCGTTGCAAGAAGTCCATAAAAAATCTCAAACCTGATTTATACAATTCTATAATTTAATTAGTTTGACTCTTCTCTCTAGATTTGGAGTTTATTCCTGTAAATATAGGAGACAAAGAGAATGAGAAGAACCAAAAAGCATGAGCAGGGAGAAATTCAATATTATTATTAGAGAGAGGAGCAGGGAGAAGTTGAATATTATTATAGTTCAATATTATTATTAGAGAGAGGAGCATGTAGAAGTTGAATATTATTATTAGAAAGAGAGTATTGGATGGCAAAAAGAGGTTTCTTTTGCAAATGTTTTGAGTTTTGGGCAAAAGAGGTTTGCTAAGCAAGTATTTTGAAGTTCTAAAACATCTCTCTGTATACTCAGAACACCACTCCATTAAATTTAGATAGAGAATAAAGGTTCTTAGAGATATTGAGCAAAAGCCTGAAATAAAAAGCAATCACTATCCAGCAACCAGTTGAAATGCTAGAGAGAGCTCTATAAAATTAAGGGATTTCTAGAGAGAATGACAGAAAGGATTATAGGGAGAGCTCTATGAAATTACGGCCCTCTAGAGATAAAGATGGAAAGGATGCTAGGGAGAGCTTATTGAAATTAGGGGCTTTCTAGAGAGATAAAGATGGAAAAGAAATATTCATTTTTTAGAGAGAAAAAAATTCGATGGGATATGGAAAGGATGTTAGGATCTGTAGTTGAAGATGAGAGAAGGAAATAGCAGTGAGATGGTGGAAAGGCTGAGAGAGAAGCGAAAGTTAGGGGGGAAATGGAAACGCCAAAAGAGAAGCGAAATATGGCAATTTTGGGTACATCCAAAAACATAATATTTTGGGTACATCCAAAAACATAATATTTGTTACGGACATACCTACAATACGGTCTACTAAATATAATGAAACAATATATTAAATTTACATAAATTGTACATTCATGTTGATTAATTTGAAATAAATTTGACACAAGTTAAACATATAGCATAACATAGTGCCAATTTATTACAACCAAACTTACAATATAATATAATAAGATCATAATAAATAGCTTCCAATTTATAACTTTTAAGATATGCTCCTTGAAACACTATAGTGAGACAATATGCCTGGTTTAAATAAATTCTATATTTATGTCAATCTCACACAAGTTAAGTGGGTAGCATAATATAGTGGCATAAAAGAAATGACACATTGCACTATTCTATACAGTAATTTACTTAAGATTAATACTTCTTTAAAATAATGGTAACACAAATTGAGCAAATAGCACAACATAGTGCCACCACCAAAAGAACATGTTGCACTGTTCTAAACAATACTTTATTTAAAATTAATATTAATTAAATGTTAACTTTGAATCTTAACCAATTGTTTATAATGTTAGAAGTATAATATCAGCTTATCAGTTAAATTATAAAATTTTTGTTTTTAAATTTCATTTGCTATGATTTAATATAAGTCACATAGGTTGTTTTCACACATTGTTACATTGGAGAGATTTCACAAATACATGTAACTAGGTATCTCTAGAGCTACCTAGTATTGACACCTAAACTGCAATACAACATATCACCATGACCAGTGGTTTAAAAAATAAATAAATGACCCGGATCGGGCATCCCAAAAATCGATCCGGATCAGTGAATCGGCGATCCGGATCGAAAATCGGGCCGAATCGTTCGGATTAAGCCCTTAAAAATTCAAAAAAATTATTAAAATTCATTATAAATGTTGTTTTTAAGGAATCCAATAAGAAATAATGATGCTACATTATTAACTTTCATTGCTTTCATCAATTTATGAATATTGAGATGTTCTTTCCCTGTATGAATTTATGTTGATCATTAAATTTACATCATACAAAAAAAATCATAGAATTCTCGTGGATTAGGTATATAATCATATATGGACTACAATAAAGAGTTGAATAAATCGATGAAAAATTGGCCACTAAAATCTCAAATTGGCGGAAAACCATAATCCGCTAAAAAAACCTAAATTATTACAACCTAACTAACTATAATATTATATAACAATAATATTTTATAATTATTTTATTATATAATAATAACAAATCCAAAATATTTTATAATATCATCTAATTTAAAATGTATTATTGACAACTGTAAGAAAAATAGTATACTACATGATTTATAATACAAAAATTAATAAATAAAATAAAAGATTTGGTTATCAATGTAGAAATTATTAGAATGCGTACCAATTTTATTTAATTTTTTAGGTTTATAGAATAAATTAGTGGAAAAGATTGTTAGTAGAAAGAGAGAGATTTCAAATGGCATCGTTGTCTGAATCTTATCTTTAAATTAATATTACTAAATTTATGTTAAAGACTATCATGTTATAAAAATAAAAAATATAATTAGACCATTTATTCTTAGGTTGTATTAGGAAATACCTTTTATTTTTTTGACAAGAAATACTTATTGTGTTATCTTTTATTTTGTTTTACAAAAAAAATATGATACTTGTTGATTATCTTTTTTTTTTTTTTTTTGACAAAAGAAGAAGATGTTGTACTATATTTTTTTTTGCTTGTTGTATTAATTTTTATTTTTTTTACAAGAAAAATAAAAAAATGATGCTGCCAAAGTATATTTTATTTTTTTATGCCTTTTGTTTTATTTTTTGCAATAAATACTTGTTATGTTATCTTGTATTTTTTTTACAAGAAAAATAAAAAAATGTTGTATTATATTTTTTATCTTTTTCTTGAAAAGCCTTTTATTTTTTATTTTTTCAATTTTTTTACGACAGTATTTTCTGCCTTTGTTTATTTTTGTTGTCAAAATTTTTTTTATGCCTTTTGTTTTATTGTTTTGCAAGCAATACTTGTTATATTACTTTGTATTTTTTTTACAAGAAAAATAAAAAAATGTTGTATTATATTTTTTATCTTTATCTTGAAAAGCTTTTTATTTTTTCTATTTTTTTACAACAGTATTTTCTGCTTTTGTTTATTTTTTTGACGACAAAAATAAACGACGACGCGCGGGGTTCAAACTCTAGACGTCCACCAAAAATTCAGGGTTGTCAACCAACACCGCCACGTCGCCTAATGTGATTTATTAGCTTCTATAATAATATATATTCAATCGTCTTGCCTAAATGATTTTTTATGGGAATTATCCCACATCGAAGGATGAACGTCGCTTTGTTCTCTATAAAGTCCTGTGTACTAGATATTCAACTGCGCGTGTAGAAAAACGAGGGGGTAGACATGTGAGGTGAGTTACCACTTATGGAAGATTTTTAGGTGCCACATGTTGCTCCCGTGAGGTGGCCACGTGTAAATCGAAAAATTTTCGGGTTTACACGTAGCCTCCTCACGGGAGCGACATGTGGCCGCCTCACAGGACCAACACGTGGTAACTCACCTCACGTCTGCCCCTTCACTTTTTCACACTCACAATGGATGTCCATTACACATAAGTTTATAGAGAACCAAGCAACACTCATCATTCGATGTGCGATAATTCCCACAAAAAATTATTAAAGCAAGATGATTGAATATATATTATTATAGAAGCAAATAGAATCACATGAGGCGATGTGGCCGTGTTGGTTGACAACATTGATTTTTCGGTGGACTCTCTTGAGTTCGAACCCCGTAGCGCACAACAATTTTTTTTTTGAGTTCGAACCCCTTAGCTCACAACAAAAAAATACAAAAAAAATTTTGTTGTCAAATAAATAAACAAAGGTAGAAAAGACTGTTGTAAAAAAATAGAAAAAATATAAAATAAAAGGCTTTTCAAGATAAAGATAAAAAAGATAATATAATATTTTTTTATTTTTCTTGTAAAAAAAATACAATTTGTTGTCAAAAAAATAAATAAAGGCAGAAAATATTGTTATAAAAAAAAAAGAAAAAATATAAAATAAAAGGCCTTTCAATATAAAAATAAAAAAGACAATACAATATTTTTTTATTTTTCTTGTAAAAAAATTTTAA